CGTAAGTTGGCGACCAAAGATGGTGTAACCATCTATCAAAAGATTCCTTTGATGATCGAAAGGTCGCCAAATTGCGCAGACACTGGTAAAAAAAACCTCTTGGTTCAAGAGTGCAATTCCTTGTCGCCGGATTTAAGAGTCTGGACTCTTGTTTCAAGCGGATTTTGAATTGAATCAATGCAAAATCCGCTTGAAACAAGAGTTCAAGACTCTTAAATCTGGCGACAAGAAACTGCACTCTTGAACCAAGAGGTTTTTTTTACCAGTGTAAGACTTGCGCGCCTTAAGTGCCGTACCCAAAGGTGGTTCTAAGTGATCTTTGGACGAGATTTGCCACAAGGTTGCGCTGCTGATCTCGTCCCCAGATCACTTAGAATCACCATGTTCATCAGACAATTTTAATGTCAGCTGATGAATTTATACATTTTGTCACGAAAAAGGTTAAGACAATTCAATTTGAGACAATGACTTGCATTGACTAGTTGATATTGATTCATGGTATATTTTAACTTTATAAATTCAAGAAAAACAACCTTGAACTTCACCTCCGCCCTTTTTCATTGGCACCCACCAATTAAAATCTACGCGAGTCTATGATACGATTGGAAAATAAAAGGGAAAACGAAAGATAGGGGAGAAAGGTCTACCGAGAAGAAAATGGTAGTAACGCATGAAGTTAGTACACGGGTAAAATGAGAGTTTGGTCAGAGTAAGTTGTTACATTCGTTCGTTGATTTAATTGTTCTATCCTGGTATAAACCAAGTCTTATCGGAGCGTTCATTTTTATTTAATCTTAAGGCTGTGTATGTCACTCGGTGACCTCACGACTGTTGAGCCAAACTCACGCATTAAAGAAAAACATCCATCCAGTAAGTGTCGATAAATTCCCTTGGGAAACTCTTACAGCTTTTGAGCATTCGATTTGATTTTAATGTAAAAACTGCTTAATTATTTAAAAATCTGCAAGTGCGATACAACACAGAGTGTGGATTTAACTTCAACTTTTACACGTAATTTATTACGCAAGGACTTGAAATCGTTTGACGAGAGAAAGAAAAGAAATTATTCAACTTCATTCAGGCAAAATTCTTTATGCACCGAGAGAACAGTTGCCAACGTAGACTTCGAATTTTGGCAAGTAGGGCATACGGAAAAATTTGACTACTTTCTCAGTGTAATAATTCATTGCGAAACACGATGAAAAATTTTAAATTAATAAAATGAAATAGTCCTAAAATACTGAAAATTTACTTAATACCAGAAGGTTTGGCGATAAATATTATGAAAATCTGAAATTGTCGCCAACCCCCCCCCCCCCCCCCTTAGAAAGGATACTGCTAAACCTGATTAATGCATTTTTGAAGCATTTAGAACTCTGTATGAATTGATTGTTGATATCTCTGCTTGACCGTTTCATTAGTAATTGTCATGCTTTCGCAAATCTTATTTCAGAACACAAATAATGTGTTGAGTAAATTTTTAATGTGAAAACTGCTTTGTCTTCAAAGTAAAATCGTCAAAAGGAGACTATGAACTTGATTACTTTTAATTCACGAGAGGGACAAATAGTTGATGAAATCTTTAACTGAAAAGTTAGGTACCATTTCTTTTTTTCTGCCGACAATAGTTACGATACGTATCACTTAATTCAAATCCATTTCCGATCACACCAGAGATAAGCTAAAGAAACTTATTGGACGACTTGATATAGTGTCTTTAATACACACGATGTACCGTTGTTAACTAATTTTATTGTACTTACAGGAAACAACATGGGAGGGAAAAAAATGTTTGAGTGTTGAAGTTTTGTACACTGAGGTCTCTTTATCCTGCTAGAATAGAATATGACACTGTAAGTGCGATTCAACAAAACTGCTGAATTCAATGATGTTCGTTCAGATTCAAACCTCGTTGAGAACGCAAAGTTCAACTTCAATAGCCAATTTAGCAGAGTTATTATTTCTTTCTCATCCATAAAAACGCGTATCTGAATACGGAAACTAATGGCACGCAAGTTGTTTGAAACGGAAATAGTGAATTTCTTTAGCATAATGTGATCCAACTGACTTCTAAAGTGACAAAGATTCTTTAAAAAATTGTTTAGAACAGGAAAAAATGCTTAATCTTCCTTTGCAGGTGTAAATAAGGTAAAAATTAAAAGCGATAAACAGATGGATGGGTGAATATGACTGAAAATTAATGAAAGATAGAACTCATTATTTCTTTTTCTTTTCACGCAAGTGCGGTTGTTGAAAATTCTGCAGTATTGCTTGTGGGGCAAGGAGGAACAACGATCAATTTCATCAGTGACATAAAATGATGAAAAATCTTTGAATAATAATCATTGATAGAACTGATCCATGCACTGTAAGCTTGGCACTTAATTTTACAAATGCTGAAATCACACGCTGAATACAGGGAAGCTGAATGTGGGTGTCATCGGTCCGTTGTTGAGTGGTGTCCTGAATTTTGCGCGTAACGCCAAAAATTAAAAATTTAGCAACCGATGAGGATAGGTTATCAGTTTGCCTGCACTATTCGAATCAAGTTGATGCAATTTTGGGAAAAAAGCACTCTTTACGGCAATGCAGCTGTTGAGCAATGACTGACGACCCCAATGCTCAGCTCCCAAATTCAGAGTGGGATTCCGGCTTAACATAAATGAACACGATGTGTCCTGTTGGTTTTTCTATTTTTCTGTTTTTTCTGTTTTTTTCTGTTTTCTTCTGTTTGTTTCTGTTTTTTTTTTTTGTTTTTTTTTTGTTTTTTTTGTTTTTTTGTTTTTTTTGTTTTTTTTGTTTGTTTTTTTTTTGTTTTTTTGTTTTTTTTGTTTTTTTTGTTTTTTTGTTTTTTTGTTTTTTTGTTTTTTTTGTTTTTTTTTTGTTTTTTTTGTTTTTTTTGTTTTTTTTGTTTTTTTTTGTTTTTTTTTGTTTTTTTGTTTTGTTTTTTTTTTGTTTTTTCTGTTTTTTCCTTCTTTATTTTAACTACAGTACAATTTTACAAAATAAAGCTTGCGTATCGTAAGTTGGCTCGGAAAGCCATTTGATAGATAAGCAATTGCCGCCGCGGCTTTAGAAAATGACTTCCGTGCAAATATACGGTGCGCAAGCTTTTTACAAATTTGTGTATTCCATTAAGCCCTAAAACCTTATATTGGGGAAAAATACTCTGCCATTACATCCCGAAGTCTTCGCCGTTGGAAGCTTTGATTTATGAGTCGTAACAATGTTTCCTGTCCGAATTTTGATCAAAATGTACATTCCTTCGTATCGTTGGTCTTCTTATTCTCCTTCCTAGTTGGTAATAAACATTTCTAACAAATTCTGAAATAAACTAGTTCGATGATTTTTTCCTTGTCTTGACCAAGAAAAGCCACAGTCTTGGCTTCTTATCACAACATCTGTATCGCAGTGAATTTGTCCGGTTTGACGGTATCATCGTTCAGCAATTATTACTCATTGCTTCGCAAGAATTTGAGTACAAACAGAAATGAGACTTCTGACCAAGCAAACGTTCTTCACTCCAGCTTTCGGAACGAATTTCAAGAAATGTCGATTGTAGAAGCAGAACCGAGTGCGATCAACGGGTTGGTGGCTCTGAGAGAGACGGATGTACATGTGGATGTATTGGGCCGATGGCGCTAGACTCTCTTGCACGATAAAGCAAGGCATGAAGGCAGGCGAATGCTGGTAAAATATCTGGATGATGTGAAAAATTCAAATTCTCAAACGGCAACCGAGTTAACTGAGCAACAAGGAGCTTGCATACAGGCAATGAACATTTTTTTACTATATTGATTTGATTGCGTAGAGTATTGACGCATTAGAGCAGAGTAAAGTTTCTTGAGATTTCGCGTCGACTGCCTGAGAATTTTGCTTCGCTACGCAACAGATTGACCGAATAATTTTTCCTAGTGGTATGCGGGCCTTCATCTTCGACCCCCAGCGCATTTCCTTTTCTTTTCTTTTCTTGAGACGCCTCACAATTATAATCACTGGCATATCAAACCACGGGTGGGTCGGAACTTAGCGTTCTAAATTCTCCAGCAGAAGACATACTTGTACTATGTCCGTAGACATCATGGGGATTTCGGCACATCCATTCTTCAAGCTTTTGAAATTTTCAGGGATTAAGGCCGAGTAGAATCTGTTTCTGCAGATTTACTCGTCAGTTCCGTGAAAGTTTGACACCACTGGGCAAAAAAAAAATAAAAAAAATAAAAAAAATAATTCACGGATTAAGGCCGAGTAGAATCTGTTCCTGCAGATTTACTCGTCAGTTCCGTGAAAATTTGACGCCACTTGACGGTCAAACACACTGACCACTGGGCAAAAGAAAAATAAAGGAAGAAAGAAAAATAATTCAGGGATTAAGGCCGAGTAGAATCTGTTTCTGCAGATTTACTCGTCAGTTCCGTGAAAATTTGACACCACTAAGCAAAAAAAATAAAAAATAAAAAATAAAATAATTCAGGGATTAAGGCCGAGTAGAATCTGTTTCTGCAGATTTACACGTCAGTTCCGTGAAAATTTGACACCACTGGACAAAAAAAAAAATGAAAAAAATAATTCACGGATTAAGGCCGAGTAGAATCTGTTTCTGCAGATTTACTCGTCAGTTCCGTGAAAATTTGACGCCACTTGACGGTCAGACACGCTGACCACTTGGCAAAAAACAATAAAAAAAGTAAAAAAAGAAAGGATGCCGTTAAATTGTGCATGTCTTCGCTGGAGAACCCCACATAGTGAATTTGACGTCCATGGTTTGCGGCGCCTGCAATATTGCAGATATACTTCACGCGTATCTACTCCGGGAGATAACTTGCGCGCTCATGCGTGTAAAGTGTAGCGCCCGAGACAGGATGCGCATTTGCGTGGACTTTAATCAACTGCAGGCGTTAATGTTCTTGCATGTGGACATTCTGCGATACCTTGGATTGATTCATCATAAATCTGCAAAATGACGTTGACTAAGCTGCATATTACTTGGGCGTAATTCGACACAACTCCGTCTGAAGATCTGCACTTTTTATGGCGGCTTGAAAACAATAAGCTATATACGTCTTCCTGGAGTTACAATACCAGCTTGCCGCAAAAAGTTTTGGAGTTGGTTCCTCCAGGTAGGCATCGGAGAGGGCGCTCAGCTAAGAGGTACATAAATGGCATCTAAAGAAAGATGGATAAATGCCAGCTTCCGGAAGAGCTCTTTCATGATGCAAATATTAGTCGAGAATACCAATGATGTGGTTCACTTTCAGCTTTAGGTTGAGACTGTTAGCACTGCGAAACCAAAAAGAATTGTTTTCATCTGATGATAGGATAGTGCGAAGCACTCTGCCGAAACTGTTGCAGCATTGAGAGAACCAATCTGCTGGAAAATATTGATGATATGGTCGATGTTGAAAATTCAATCGATACTGTTAGCAAAAAGGAGAAAAAGGTTGATCTGAAATGCTGACGATGTGGTGTATCTTGATTACCGGATTTCATCTCGATTAGTTCCAAATAATTCTTCAAAAATCACAAGGACATGAAAATAAATAGAAGACTTCTGCTGTTAATATCCAAAGAGTTAGCACCATCGGATAAGCTGAAGTAGCCGTAACACGATCATCTTCGTAAATCAGTAGGGATGGACGAAAACAAAACTGCATTCCGCATAAATTACATTGTGGATTATGCATTTTGCTAGAGGAAACTGGTTGAAACGAACCACCAGTTTCGGGGTTCGTAACGGAGTCTCGGTTTCAGCCGATGATGTATGGTGATCCAAATGTGTCACTGAAGTAGGAATTTGACTGTTTCATTAGGTAAAATCTGCGTCAGGTCAAAACAATGCTTGATATATGCTGGACATAAACTGGTTCGGCTTCACGTCGGCAGGGTTTGTTGACATCGAATCCAGCAACACAATACAAAAGTCAAGTCCAAACCGGCAAAAAATGGGATATGCAATGGCAGAGCAATAAAGAGGCCCACAAACACTACGAACAACCCACACGGGCAACAGGCAGTCACATAAAAATGACGCTAAGAGATAAGTTTGAAAGATCAGCGCAGAGATCAACGAGGTTATTCAGCTTGAAATCGAACTGAATTGAGGATAAAAACCCCACTTCTACCGCGCGGCAAAATCAGCGACAAAGTTTTTTTTTTTTTTTTGGGGGGGGGGGGGGAGTCATGCTCGTGACGTTGCCGGACTACGCGTAACGTAGAGAGAGCTTTCCTGGTTTGGAGCTGTTGTGGAAAATTTTAATTTAAAAAATGCGAGTCATGAGTCATGCCTTTGAGCAAGTTAATACAAAAATTGAGATGGCTGCTCTAATAACCTCGTTGATAGAATTATACGATAAAATATATCGCGATCAGATAATGATGATCAAATAGAAGGCCAAAAAAGGCAGCTAGAATATTTTCATTTGTGGCACATTAAAAACAAACCTTATGAGGCTTGGAGAGAATACTTTCAAAAGAAGTGAATATTGCACTTCCTCGGTAAAAAGGCGTAAGAGGCTTCTAATGCTGCTAAGAATGGCAACGTGGGTATTTAATTACAAGCAACCAATCTGAAAGCTTTCGTATGAATTCCCCCGAATTTTTGTTCACTATTGTGTGGAAGCAAGACGGCAGTGAATGGAGTGCATTTTCAGTGAATGCGATAGAAAATTGCACAATCTTAGCAGCACTGCGCAGATCTTGAACGCCCTTTTGCCGAAGAGGTCCTCATTTCGATAAAGAGTACTGCGGGGTTCGTTTTTACGGTTTAAAAGAAATATATTCTCATGTTAATAAAATTAAAATTTCTTTCAATTTCTTTTGAAAAAGACAGATTCAAAATAATCACGGATAAATTAAAAAGATAAAGTGAATTAACACGTTTTCTTAATCACGGATAAATTAAAAAGATAAAGTGAATTAACACGTTTTCTATGGATTTTAATATGGCTATTACTTTGCAGCATAGCGGCCAGGAGGGCATGACCCCCTAAAAATGAATATTTTCCGACTAGGAGACAAAATTTTGGATACGAAAATTAGAATTTTTCTATTTAAAATTTTTGTTACTCTTAGTTTTTGATTTCAAAACGACCGGATCTATGAAAAAGGAACTTATCATAAGAGGAAAACTTGTCATATACTTTTTGCAAAAATTTAAACCACGTGCTCAAATGTCACGTGTCAAGCGCGTCAATATTTAAGCTTTACAGTCAAACTTGCGCCAAAATCCAGTGATACCATTTAACTAAAATTTGAAAGTATGGAAAATAAGGTTCTTCTTTGCAGATCCGGCAACTGATGGATTAAAAGAATTTACACTTTTAAGCGTTTCACGCGAATTGATTTTCGTTAAAAAATAAAAAATAAATAAAGAACAAATCAAAAATAAATTATGATAAATTATGAGAGTAATAATTTGATCTCTTTACAGTCCATGGTGGGAATTGTGATCGTTAGTATGAAACAATACATCATTCCTCGTAAGATACACTGCGGGGCCCAACAACCAGTCCAGATTTCTTCAATTAAAAAAATAATGGGATATTTTGAATTTATCGCAGCTGTAATCTCAACAGCAATGCAATGCAAGCAATTTTTTACTACAAATCGCAATTAGTTTAATTGATGACCTTCATTTTCATGACACTTACCTACTAATTGCTCTCACCGCCGGTTTCGTCTCTGCCCGCACGCAGTGCGGCGATTTCGGCCCGGCAATGAGAACAATAGTGCCGTGTTAAGGAAAATAGTCGTACGAGCCTTTAAATGTGGCCACACCTCCTTCAACAAAAGTAAAATTTTACTCGGGAAAATTCTGAATACTTTTTTTTACAAATTTTTCAAAGAAATGTGTCCACGATTTAATCTAAAATATCTGAAAATTTCAAGAACTGTGCAGACCTTTTCTCACAATTACATGTTCTATTCGATGAAATTAGGCAACTCTCAAATAGACGTATTTCTATCAAACGCAACTATGTGCATTAAGACATGAGCCGCGAGACCCAAAAGAATACATGCATAACAGGGCTCACGTCATAATGCACATAGTTCCGTTTGACAGAAATGTTCATACGACGTTTTTTCTTGACACGGCAGAATCATTTCGAACGCTTATCTGGGACATTCAATCCTTATGATATCTCCTTACTATATGGTCGTCCATAAATTACGTAAAGTTCTAGATGAGCGTTACGCGATTTTTTTTAAACATTAAAGAATCGGGACTTACGTCACAAAAGCTTTACGAAAGGGGATGGGAAGGGAGGGGGGTCCAAAATTCCGAAAAAAAGCGTCACGTAATTTATGGACTAATTAATGGATCCCTAATTGCTCTCACAGCCTGTTTCGTCTCTGCCCGCACACAGTGCGGCGATTTCGGCCCAGCGATGAGAGCAATATAAACCTTTTTATTAAGTGTTTGAATCTTTTAAAAAGCGACATACTTTTGATGACTTTTATGATCGTTCGCAGCCAAAATCTATGTGAGATGGAGCTCTTAGGAATGCATGGATTCAACTGCGTCGAAAGCAGTGCACGATAATGGCCTACAATAAGACCTTAAAAAAAGTTCCGCCGACAGCCCCTGGCGGTTAGGCAACCTAACAAGTACCAGTGGCTGCACAATGTGCGATGTGCGGATGGTTGACATCGTATTGTCTAATTCTAATGATTAATGGTGTTTCATTTTTAATTTGGTCCTCCTACCATTCGAAATATTTCAACAACCGTAAATGCGTGTACAGACATATCCTCACACTAAACTGAGAGGAAAAACTGGCGAGGAAAACGAAGAATCTCGATAATGAGTCATTGTTGGTCCTGATAGACTGGCATAACATTCTGAACATATTGTAAATTATTATGCACATTTGAGTCCGTTCCTGATAGAATAATGAATATTTAAATTGTGATCT